ACACGAGTCTTTTCAAACATTTATTATTATTATTCTTGGTACTTTTGACCTTTTTTAAGGACATCCCAATTTGATCGAAATGTACGCCGATGTCTACCTTCTACCCACGCGTCCATCCCCATTCGATCTATAAATTTGTGCCGTCAATCCAAGAAACAAATTTCTATATAAAGGTCTACCTTTCATTTGCTATGTTTTATATTTATATATTTGGAATTTTTAATTAAGAATATGTATTATTAGACTTCTTTCTATTGTATACGAATTCTCGAGTCAATAACTCTCGGAGGTTCTTCAATATTTGTAATCAGTGGTCTGTTATGTAATATATCGATATCTTAGGATTTGCGATTGCAACACATTGAAAAGTTTAAGAGAAAAGTTTAAGGAGACTGGTATCATGACTGTGGTATCGCGGTACATTTACTCAAATATTTTGTATACATAAAAAAATATATAATTTCGTTAAGAAAGAAAATATCCCTAATATTAACCTTAGAAATAAGTCCAAATTGATGGTACCACGTTTTCGTTTAACTGACGTAAACGATTCTTTTATGAGGAAAGATCCCGGAGCATATATTAAGATTACCATTTCCTAAGTTTAAAACTTGCATTAAAAGTATTTTAATTGAAATGTCATATTACAAAATTATAGACTACGTGTTAGATAAAGATATAGGAAAGACAACGTGAGTCTAGATTCCACACAAATATAATTCAAAATGTATTATTCTATAGCATTCAAGTTTATTTGAAAAGAACAATCCCTAGAGTTTCTTGCTCGTTCTTCTCAGGGAGGTGAACGAGCAGTAGCTTAAAAAATGACGTTTTCAAGTGTAAAAATTTTACCTATGGAATAAATGATGAATGACTGACTTTGACATTGGAAATGATTTTTTTCTATGTACAATCGCGTATATTTGTTTTTGCAAACGAACCAACAACGCTTCGGGCCCGTTGCAAGGCCCGCAAGTCTGCCAATTTCCTTTGAACCAGTGGTCATTCTAATTCCATCTAAACTCCGGTGAGATTATATTGAAGTTATGATAATATTTGCTATTCTGCTAAAATCGAGTGGCAACGTCAGTTGAGTCTTAACATAGTGTCAGTGAAATGGCAGTGATGTCATCCGTTCATTCAATCACTAACAATAGATTTTGCCTTACTAAGACTACCATGGAAATTACTATCCTTATCTTCATGTTATCTCGTTTAATCGGCAATGAAGTCTTAAAATTAAACATGTTTCTTTCTTAATTTCAAATAATTTGTAGACGACGCCATCGACAAGTCTTCGACCCGTTATTGACGATCAAAATACCAAAAAATTGCAAATCAGTTGAATAGTAGGTCGATGGCTTGCCACCATCGAGTAACCAGAAACAGAGACGAAATAGGAGCCATCCATCCCTGGCAACTCATCAGGTAAATGAGCCTTATTTCACGTTTAAAACGTCTAATTACAAAACAAACGGAATCCCATTTCATCGGTAATTAAATATGCAATTCTTCAATTTTCGTCCATTATAGCTAAGTTCAAGTTAAACTGGTCGATTCGAAGTGAAACAATTGACGGCACCCGTCAATAGTTTCGAATTCGGGCTGGCCCATCGGAGCGCAGTTGTCACCGTAATGATTTGGCAGAATAGTTTTCACACAAATTTCGTCTCTATTTCTGGTTATATACTCAATGCTAGTCACTGACAAGCACCCTCTTATCTTTTACACAGATAACGGAACTACCTTTCAGCAGAATACCAAATATACCAAATCCTCCATTGACACTGTATCGACACACAACTGAGATAATTCAAAATTGGCAGATTTAGGCGCCTGATTTCGTGGTCACGGCTGACTAAGACGGTATTAGTTATCAACCAGTTATGTCTAATATTAATGCAAACCAGCCTATTCTGGACGATAGGTACAAGGTAGAACAATTGTTAATTTAGCTGCATTATTTTTAATACATCAAAGAACACATTCCAATTTACGCCACATACAATTTGCAAAATATTTTGACAATATGCATTTTTATAGAAAAACTAAATAAAGCATATCGCACCTTTAGAATGAAAATGACCTAATTAATAAAATTAAGAAAATGAGTTTATACTGTAAAACTATTTCAAAAATCATCGTTTATTAGATTAATAATTTGGAACTGATTCATTAAGGCTCGAATGTTACACTCTCTATAAGGGTTTCTTTAATACGTTTGAAATTTACTCCCGCGTCGGTAGGTAAACGCCGCATTTAATATAAAATCTGTATCTACAAAAACTACACTAGCACCGTTCGTGAATACGTGACGGATTAACGATTGAATCGTTTTCGTTCCGAAAATCATCATTAAATTTTTACATACCAACTTAATTTACTGCCTAGAGGAGCCTTTTTCGCAATTAAAACGGCTTAATCTTGATAAGGTCATAACATCTTCCTTTAAGTTTGTGAAAATTAAAGAGACTTGGTTCTTGTTAGGTCAAATGACAACAAAAACGTTCAGTTAAAAAAGCAACCTCGACTAGATTTTGTAAATTATATGTTTAAATTGTAAAATTTTGATTTAAGTCATTTTTATTCCAAACGTGCGATATGTGGTGTTAGGGCGCGTTCCCACTATATCGTCACGTTTTATTGTCGTTGGACGACTGTTGTGTCTAGCCTGTTCCCATATCACGACTGTCTGTCGTGGACGCTTTTTTATCGTTGAACGACTGTCGTGACTAGCTGTTCCCACTAGATCGTGACGACAATTAATCGTTTCACGACAGCCTCCTTGCCCATCTCTGGCTACGACCCTACGCTACTGCAAAGCGAGCAGAGGGCGCGGGGTACGAGAGGGGAGGGCAGAGAGCAAAATTCGTGCGGACAGCGATAAATAAAACGTGACGAAAATAGGAGCTACGACAATCTGTCGTCACGTTTTTATCGTGACGTTTTGTTATAGTCCGACGACTGTCGTTCTAGCTGTTGCCACTATGACGACAGTTTGTCGTTGTAACGATAAAAAATCGTGAACGACAGTTAATCGTGTCGTGCTATATGTGAACAACTTCATTTAAATATACAAGTCACGACACTGTAAACTGCACGATAATCTATCGTCACGACATAGTGGGAACGCGCCCTTATATCTGCTTGTGTTTTTCATCAGAAGAAATACTGGATCCCAAGTTGGTGATCATCACCATCATCACATCAGTCGAACGGACAAAGTCACGAATGTCGAGGTCCTTAAACGTATGGTGAAGAAGTTGGAGTTGATAGGCATTGTCAAGTAGCGGAAGATTGCCTATTTGGGTCATGTATTTCGACCTGACAGATATCATCTACTGCAGCCAGGAAGCGGAAGGTTGGAAGTAGGAAAATGTCATGGTTTGTGAACATCAGGGAGTGGACCAGCATTAAAACCGTGGAACAACTGTTCAGGATAGCTCTATAAAGCTCTACAAAGAATAGAAAGCCGACTGCCGACCTTCAATAATGATGAGGCACTTGAAGAAGAAGACGTTGGTGATACGGAAAACTTATTTTCCTTGTTGAATTAGGATGTTTCAAGGAGATGCTACTTCCGCAGCATCCTAGGCAGGAAACGGCCTTTTTTGTGAGGCCTTGGCGCTTCTTGCCCATTTTGTTTAAGGTTTATCACAAACCGAAGTTTTATTATCTTTTTTGTTAATGAAAATGGTGGTCTGGTCTGAGAACTCAGTGAAGATATAATCACGCAAAATAGACCTATAGTATAGTATTCTAATTTACTTCCATTTTTATGAACATGGATTTCCTCAAAGTAACGCTAGTAACCACAGAAATACTAATAGGTAACCATAAATTATCATTTGCTGTGTAATATATGTCGCGCCACAAAGAGTTTATACGTGTTTTAAATTGTGTGTTTAATTTTTCTCACTGGACGTAAAATCTCTTTGATATTTTACCACCAACACAAAATGTTATTATTGAATATCATCGACTACATTGTCGTAACTTTTTCGGCGATATCCAAAAATAGTCTTTTCAATCTTTGTTTTGGTTAACAAACCCTATATGTATAAACAGACGTTTAAAATTCTAAAGTTCCCGGATAAACATTAATTATGCCCATAATCGCAAATTATAATCAAAATTCATTCATTCATCTTCGTCCGTTCATTCAGCACCTTCCTATGGAGAAAAAGATCTAAAGCGTGCACTATTTATTTTGTCATAAATTAACCATTGACTTCTTGAAAAATATTGTCATTCGCTTAACTGAGTCACAGAAAACAAAAGCATACAACGAAGTAAATAGAGAGTAAACTGGACATTTATCCACATTTCTACTTACATATCTACAGTTAGTTATTCAGTTATCATTAAGCGTATTTGTACATATTATCGTATACCTAGTCTATGGCAATTTGAACCTTACCGTTTATTATTTAACAAAGAGAAAAGATCGAAATGGAATGTTTATTAACAAATGTTTGACTTTCCTTCTCACAGTACTGCTAATAAGCAAATAGGAAAGTAGGTGACTTAGTTCCAAACAAACGTTTTTGTTGAAGATGAAAATTATTTTACATTTTCCTAATAAGAGATATATTCACGGAATCACCTGTCTTCGTTAAGTACAGCTACAACTGTAGTTTGGATAGATTTTATTTCGATTTATCAAAACTACGATAAATTACTTATCAAAAAAATTATTGCAGATTTTATGTTGATATTTGATAACAGCGGCGAGGTACGTATTATTTATTGTCTACTCTAAAAGCATGATTGCGTTAATTACCAAATCCGTTTTCAAAAAAAAAACCTCAAGCCAAAGTCGTTGGTACATACAGCGGTCGAACTTTAGTTCTAATGAACTGTGGAGTCGCAAGCGGTCGGCGTGTATCGTTCGATATCGTTCACTCAAGCGGCACATTCCATTCATTCGTTCCGTTCGCCAGTCGCCTATGATAAGCGATTCGTTGTGGACGTGTGCGAGTTGCCTTGAAAAAAAAACCCGCGTATTTATTCGATACAATATTAGAAGTGGATTATCAAACAACATTTATTACTAAATTGTGATTTGTGTTGTGGATTACGTGCTACTTTATGGTGTTGTGTGTGCAACAAGTTATTTTTTTGTGCTTACAATAGTTGGATTTTTTCTTTAACGCATTTTTGTGGTAAGTAGCAAGGATCAAAGATTAACCGTGTCTTTTCAATTGCAGATATGTCTAAGGATGTTTAACTGTTAAATACCTAATTACGTGTAAAGGTTTTGACGAGAATTTTTTTTTTAATCGGTAGAAAAAAGTTCACGTGGCGAAACTGCTGGTTTTCTTATCGATTTAACTCGGGTTTTGTGTTGCGGTGGATGTAATTCGTAATTACGTTTTTCTTTGAATAATCGATAAAATACAACCCACTTAAAAGAAGTTCAAGGTTAAGTCTGTTAAATTTCCTTATCGAATGTGGAACATATGAAGCTTTTACTCACCCTTTTAATACCTGTTTATTAAGGTAGCCAAGTAATTTTAATTTATTTGGCACGTATAAACACACTATAATGTTAAAAAAAAACTTGAGTGTTCACTCGATGTCGTTTGAAAAACTATGTTATGTTAAATTACTGTTTGATCATCATCATCAACCTAATTATGTACGTCCCACTGCTGGGCACAGGTCTACCGTCAGGCGACGGTTTAGGCCTTATTGTTTCATATGACACTAAAAAACGATGGTAACCTAATGGGAGGACTTTTGTTTCTCAATTGATAAGTTGGCGGTCCGAATTGCAGTGACAACATGACCTTATGACTTTAGTTTCTAAGTTACGTACATTTAGCAAAACCTATCGCTAACGGTGCATGTCAAAGAAGGATCATAGCCTTTGAAACGAGTGACGAGTTAGAGTCGACACTAGCTCAGCGCGAATGTAAATTTTTACCGTACTGAATCGATTCTATTATTATTTTTTTACAAACAAAATTAAAGCCATTGGAAAATTGTATTACACATACTATACGTGTTCAATTGAGTTCAGTTTATATAAACAAAATGGACAAGTCATGCGCCTGGTGGTAAGCGACACGCCTGTCCATAACAATTGCAGTGGTACCTTCAGATTTTTGCGAAAATCTGAAGGGGACACTGTCACCGCGGCCATCATCCTGAGCTATCTGTAATTAAAGACAATAATTTAACAAAACCAGTACACGAATATTACATGCAAACTTAATACTTTTCTATATGTAATAATAACGCGCACACTCAACATAGCCCCGCACTAGGGAAAACCCTGTGTCGCGGATGCCATGGACACACACATAGAAAACCACTAATTACACCCAAACTCACGAGAGAAATAAATGTAGGCCATAAAAAAATTTCTCCCGACCCGGGATTCGAACCTGGGACCTCTGCGTGGCAGTCCGGCGTGGTAACCGTTCGGCCACGGAGGCAGTTTATATGTTATATTATATTTATATAATATGTGACCGATCTCGATGAGAACTGAGTCAGAATACATTATTTGTTGAGTATATTGCTTCGAATTGGAAGGAGGTCTGCAATAATAATGTCGATAACTCGTTAACAATGTAATTTAATGCAGAATTTTAAACTTTATACAAAGTGATGTTTTGAAAATTTGAATAAAAAAAATATCTTTGAAAATTCGCCTGAATCTAGCACTTGTATTTGAATTCGCCGTCTCTTAATAACCTTTGATTGAACTTTTGAATGAATTTCAGAGTTTTGTGCACCCCCGTGTCCTTCGGTGCCCCCGCGGCGGTCAGTTCGTTTTATCGGCGCGAACATTATTCAACTTTTGTTTTATGTTTGATCTTTCTAGGAATTGTTTTAGAACGTCTACTAAATGACTAATATTTTATAAACCTTCTTCAGAAGGTGCTCTCTCAATGCACACACACGTGAGGTATAAGTTGATAAGTCCCAAGTGCCTGCAATTTCACCAGCACCCTTAACCCTTGATGCAATAATGCTCACATTACTACTTGGCGGCAGAAATAGGTAAGGTGACACATTTCCCTGGACGTACCCTTTCACAAGGCGTTCTACTGCTATTAAAAATGAAACTAATGCACGTGACGTTTTTGTGTTTTCTTCTATTCCTATGAACACTTTAAAACAACAGAAGCGTAATAAATAACAGATAACATTACCAAGCTTCCTTATTGTATGTTTCTATCAGACAAAGAGGATTAATAAAAAATGCGTAAACGATGTAGATAGGACATAAAGTGTGTAATTTTTGGCTTAAAAAGGCAATAATTGGATAAGCGTACAAAAACGAAGGAATTTATTCCTCTATTTTATCTTTTAAAATAATAAATACTAATTCGATACCTTATCGAATAATTCACTAATTAATCTTACTTTTTTTTCCAACGATCTGCGTAGGCACTGACTTGGCACCGTGGTTAATTAATTACTTTCCACTTGGCACTTTTTATATCTCAGAATTTAACCAAGCAGGTATGACATTTAAAATAAGTCGCTGATTCATCCGCTATAGCTTTTTTATATTAATTCCGAAGATGGTATTTTATAAAAACGATTTACTATAACTTTTTTGGCGATGTTGCATATTTTGTTTGTTACTCATCGTCGTCGTGAAGTGGTTTACACTACTAAACAATCGTATAAAAAGATAAGAAATGCCACTCCCGCCTCTAAGACACACCAACGCCTACTACACGTTGCTCCAAGCGTAGGGTTGTCACATTATTATTTTAATTGTACGTACAGATAGTACGAAGTTACACTACTTGTCTTACTCCGTGGCCGAACAGTTACCATGCCTGATTGACACGCAGAAGTCCCAGATTCGATTCCAGTGCCGACAAAAGTACATAGGTCTCTCCCAAGGTCCTCAGTCTGTATCCATCTGCTGACGTCAGCCTTTCGCAAATCGTCCCTTCATCTGGCATCAGAGGTAATCCTACAATACGTTTACGTTAGGTTTATCGGTTCTTCGACAGATATGACCAGCCCACTGCCTATTCAACTGGCTTATTCTACCAGCTATATCGACTACCTTGATTCTCGGTTGGGTAACCTCATTTCGTATTTAGTCCTTCAGTAACACTCCGAGCATAGCTCGTTCCATAGCTCGCGGAGCCACTTTGGACTGATGGACTAACCGTATCGTGAGTCTCCACGTCTCGGCTCCGTATGCCATAACGGGTAGAACGCACTCATTGAATACCTTTGTTTTCAAACTTCGCGGTATAGGTGATGAGAAGACTCGGCTATCTTTGAGTTAAACTTATTTTCACGAAAAAGTGTGCATTGTAACATAGAGATAAAATTATGAATCGATCTTTGTAACAAACTTTTTCTTTTATGATAAAGCTGATATTATGTCTCGTTTAGTAGCAGTAGATTAGATAGGCAGGTAGGTTTTGAAGGGTAAGGGTGCTGATGAAATTACGGACACATGGACTGGTCAACTTGTCTTAGGGTGACGGCGCAATGTCAGCTATGAACAGGCGTGTCGCTTACCATCGTCTGATTGTAAGCGACACGCCTGTTCGTCCCGTCACTTAGTATCATAAAAAACTCATACATATTTTAGAAAAGCAATTACATCTAAGGCCCAATCTCCCGATTACTTGTCAGTTGTACAAATCTAACCTTTGTACAGTAGCATGTCAGTCAGATAAACCGACTCTAATACTTTTACCTGCCATTAGGCAATGCTAATTGTGCATTTCGATATTCTTGTGCAATCGAGCCTTCTACTAAACGAAGTTTCTTTATATTCAATAGGTTTTAACACTTTAATTTTCAGTTACATATTCAGTCTATGACGCCTGTGAACACAATTCAAAGGTAAATATGCTTGTTAGTTTTTTTGTTTGTTTGTGGTCTAAGTACCGACTTAAGAGTTGCCACCGTCAATAGACATTTGCAGTAAAATAAAGATCCTTAAAGTATCCTAACTTCGCAAATGGGTTGTAAACTGTGTGGCGTAAAATCTTGAGTCTCCTCATTAGCCCTTGAATCTGGCACTTAGCAGTGCACTCGAACACAAAATAAAGGGTGGTTTTATTTGGAATGACTTGTCAGTCGTGTTTTTCGGAAATTTCTAGAAAATATAACACATGACGCTCTTTTAATGAATAGTAATCCAAAACAAAACATCACATTTTAGTATTGATAAAGGTGGAACAAAAACAAAGAAAAATTAGAAACTTATTATTGTTAGATCTTTCTATCACCAATGATAATAACAAAGTAATGGAGGTTTTAGGGAGGTAATTAAAGGGTTTTTTCATAAAAATAAATATTAGAAAGAAACATTAGTTCGGATATTACAAATAAATAAACAAAAAATTGTAATAATATTAATCTAAATTTAAATTAAAAAATATACAATTACAAAAAAAAGATTACTAAATATATAATAATAGCTGAAAAGGTTAGCCATCTCAGCTTAAAGCTGGGCAGAGCCTCAGCGCTGATTTTCAGCTGGAACCTGAGAAGAGGTAGATAGATGGCTGTACCTATTTGAAAAGAATAACAAGCATTTGATCTGTAATTTTAACATTTAAAACAACAAAACTTAATTTAGAATAAAATTATTACAGTATACTCACACAGTATACAGTGTGCTCTTAAACAATATAAAATAACCAAATTAATAATACTAAAATATATTAACAACTGGCTTTAATGACTGATGCCGTTTGTCATGGTAGTTGAAACATCATGATCATTTTCAATAAACATTTTTTTATTTATTTTTCGATCGGTTCACAATAGGCAAGCATTTAAGTAAGCAATGGGATTTGGTAAATATACGGTGAACATTTCGATCTTTACTTATTTCATAGCTTTATTCAGAATGTATTAGATTATATAATCAAAAATAATCACGTATCAAGATGGGGTTGTTAACGACGCGAGATAAGCCTCAGGTATTCTTAACCATCTTGAATTAGGTGATTCTGAGATAGGCCGCTCTAGAAAGCCATCGATTTGTGTTACACAGTGTAACATTGTATAATATGTTACAGTATATAATGTCAATAGTATTAACATTGTAAAAGAAAGATGCGACCTCGTTTGTTATGTAAACTAAAGATGGCTTCACACTTTGTCAAACAATTCTAGTAATGTTTTAAAAAATTATTTAAATTATACAATAATATTTACG